TGACAGTTGCAGGAAAAAGAAGTCCAGGAATTATTTCCTAACTGTAAAGATAAGTTCACGGTACAGAGGTGACAGTGAAAACCGTGAACATTGACCTCCCGCTTGCGTTACGTTGCGGTACAGTGAAAAAAATCGGGAATTACAGTAATCAATTTACAGAGTATGTTTGCTTAGTCTCCAGATGTTTTGTATGATTGTCGTAAACTTAGTTTTAAATTAACGAAAACCGATGCGCGCACAGATGCCATCCATACAATCAAATCAACATGGCCTTATTAACAATCACATAAACTATGAAGCCATACATTGAATAAGCTATACATATAATATGATTATCATAACCTTTATTTTTAAAATCATGCCAGTGAGCTAATTGCATGTACAGAGTGAAAGAAAGTAAAGTAAAGTAAAGCAGTAGAATTTCTGTACTAAGCTATGATAGTACTCCATATGATTCGTCCTCATCGTCATCAGTCAATGTGGTCTATCTCTTGCTACTAGTGACTGGTATACCTCTGTAGATTCTTCACACTGGCAGAGTACCGTACTCCTTCTCTCTTGTCAGCTCCATACTTTTGTGACAACATCAAAGTGATTTTGGTTTGTATGTTGGAAAAATACAAAAGACTAACATTCTAAGTTATTGACATTCTTGAGTAAGAACAATCAGTTTTTGAATGTTAAAAGCAAAACAACGAAAATCAAAAAAAATGTTGAAATTGTTAAAATGCAGGATTGTTAAAATTGTTAAAACTGATAAAATTGTTAAAACTGATAAAATTGTTAAAAATGATAAAATTGTTAAAAATGTTAATATCCGATGCACTGGGGTTCGAACTCACAATTTCTGGGATTGCCGCCTGGCGCGTTACCAACCGAGCTAACTCGGTGCGATACACATCACTCACTGCATTGTATTTCATATAAAGTAAACAGCATGGCGGTATCGATCGCCTCAAGCCACCAAGACTTTCAACTATTAACTACGGGGTTTCCCTCTTTATCAGGTTTGCTTTTGAACCACCTTGATGTTACTTAACTATCAACCCGGCTAGCAGAAGCCGCCGGCTCCTTTGATATTACAGCCGCTCCCTGTCCAATCTTCGAAAACTATCGGGCATGCAAGCCCTCGACGCTCGCCAGGAAACCGTCTCGCGATGTTCTCAGCAACAACAAACGAACGCCTGTGCACTCTACAATTTTGGTGATTCTTCGGAGATCGATAACAGAACCTAGATAATACTAGTTGGTAAAGATTGCGGAAAATTGTTGATACCGTGACGCGCGAGTAACTTTTTTGTTTACACGCCGGGCGCAGGTCATTGACCTCCAACTTGCGTTGTTCCAACAGAGAAGAGCAAAATGTCTGGCTCCCGCAGAACGTACCGCACTCTCCCGCTGGACGTACCGCACTCTCCCGCAGAACGTATCGCACTCTCCCGGAGGACGTCCCGCACTCTCCCGAGGGAAGTCCCGCACAGCGTCCTGCACTCTCCCTCAGAACGTCCCTCGAAAATTGATGCGTATTTCGTGGCCTGTGCTGTACCTACCAAAACACTTGAGTTCATACTGTCAAAATGGAATGGCTTTGAACAGGTGTTAATTGAGTTAATCCAATCAAATCCAACAGCCAATCAGCAAGAAGAATAGATTGGTCTGCGTCAGGTTCATGCTTGCATGCCCATATATGGGCATGCCGCCGAATTTCTTTCTTATTACGTCACGCGCGTACGCCCCCACAGTACTTTCCTATGGGGACCGACTAAAAAGACAAATAAAACGATTAGTAAAAGCTTGTATCAAAAAATTTAAAAAACGCCTAGGGGTATTTACCCACTCTACCTCTATACGAAATTTCAGGTAATTTCGCCCAAAAATGAAGGAGTTGAATCAATTTAAAGAAGTGGCAGGAGGAGGAGAAGAAGAAGAAGAAGAATCATCAGTAAAAACAGTATTTCACTCCATACTGAAGTATGGAGTGAAATAATTATGGGTTCACCACACCACGAAGTGGTGGTGAACCCATATTGCTTTTTCTGATGTTTCTTCTCCTCCTTCTCCTCCTCCTCCTGCCACTTCTTTAAATTGATTCAACTCCTTCATTTTTGGGCGAAATTACCTGTAATTTCGTCTAGAGGTAGAGTGGGTAAATACCCTTAGGCGTTTTTTTTAATTTTTTTGATACAAGCTTTTACAATCGTTTTATTTGCTTTTTAGTGGTCCCCATAGGAAAGTACTGTGGGGGCGTACGCGCGTGACGTAATAAGAAAGGAATTCGGGGGAAGGCCCAAATATGGGCATACAAGCAGGTGTGGTCATGTTTGCAGATGTGGCTGTTGATTGGCTGTTGGCTAATTAATTTATTTACTACCATTTTCACGTACCAGCGCAGCTGGTCCACGCGGTCTCGGCCGTGGGCCATGATACTCTGATACTGGATACCGATTCGTGTGATTCCTCACGCCTGAATAGAACGCTTGAAATTCGAACATTAAGTTCGCGCAGGCGCACTACAGAACGCCCAGTGCCGTTCTGAGCCCCGGGGCGCCCCGACAGTAGCAGGTAAAGCACATTTACGCCGTTATTGCAATATCAGGCCAGCTCCATTGCATCATCCAAGCTTGCCTGGTGCATGGTCCTGGTTGAAAAGGACCGAAATAATATGGTGTTACTTGACAATAAAGCATATAAATTCGTTAATCCAGGTCATGATGAAAACCCTCTTTTAAGAATCTACATACAAAAATACCATACCCTCCTAACGTAGCGTATTTAAGGACGTATGCGCGTATATAAGGATAAAACCCTGTGTAACAGTTTCCGAGCACCTGTGTCCGTAAAATATCTTTTGCAACGCTCGTAATTTTGTTGCAACGCTGTCCAAATACGCAACGGTAAGCGTGATACCATGTTTTCAGAATCGAACATCACCTTTCGCACATGCAGCGTGGCACACGACAATTTGTTTTCCACCAAACGCAGCCATGGAAGTACCTGAAACGTGCAATAACTAGAGGACGAACTGATAAACTGTGAATTGTGTGGGTCATCAGGTAGTTTTACGCTCAGCTGATGTAGGGAGGTCATGTGGTCAAGGGTTAAAGGTGCAGTTACCAGGCGACGCGGCCGAATGAATTCAGTTCTTTGCCTTAGTTATTAATCAATAAAACATTTCCTCAGAACTTTCATGTCAGATTACATTCATTATCTATTTGTCTACATGGATAATTGTAAAATACATGGTTGCATGTGAGTACTGGGCCACGGAGAAGGGAAAACCCCAGCGGTTATTTGATTGACCCCGTAACTCTCCCAACTGCCCTTTCGCGGGGCGGCAAATTCAGAAACCCGGAAGTCCGGTCCCGAGCTGAGACATGGAGCGACTCTGCTCTATGCGGGGAAGGACACGGTTATCAGGGGGGTGTCGACATGATAAAGTGATAGAAATCGACGTGCCGACATGCAAGAGGCTTGGTCTGCCCTGCGGCAGCCGGTTATGCCGACTGCATTACGATGAGGCGAAGCGCAGCCCCCAGTAGCACTGCCCTATACCACCCACGGGCAGCCATTCCGGTACACACCCTCTTTAATAATATCCCATGTCCTGCACGACTGCTGCGAGTTTTCCGGGACATGGCTGATGTAACTAACGGTACATCAATTTGTACGGCGTGCAGCAACACTGTAGATGCCACAAGAACCTTCTGCGACCACCCAGAGTATGCCCCTCCCCAAAGGAGAAGAAGGGTAAGCTATGTATAAAACATAATGTAAACAGCTCATTCATTCAAACAGATAGGAAACACTTGTGTGTCTATGTGCTTTTTTTATTTATTGTCTTCATATCCATCTCAATCAATGACAATGATTATTTATACCAGAACAACTTTATACCTTGGTTCTTCTCATCTTTGACACCTTGTTTATGTTAAATTAAACAACAACTGAATATCACCTTCAATATTATTATAATCCTTGCAAAAACTTTCAAGTGAGCTCCATGAATTCAAGTAGGAACTCTTAAACTTAACACATCAGTCCATAGAAAATTTGATCCATTCCATGATGTTGAACCTTAATAAAGGTGGTATGCTTTGTTACATCCAATATGAATAAACTACCCATAAACATAACATGTATTGCTCAGAATGTAGACCGAAACAGTATGATGGCTGATCATAGCAATCTGGTCCAGGAAACTTCTTCCACACCTTTCCTTTGAGTAGATGCAAAAGGCACTTGTAGATCTGGTTTTGTGGGCTTCAGGATTCCTGATAGCAACAGAAAATATCATTATGGTCATTATTATTTCCAGGTCAAAGAAATGTCTCCAAGAT